CTTGAAGTTCAGTCTGAATGTTCAGAAGCAAGCAGACAGAGGTGATCTAGAATCTCTTTGCCGTTCTGTTGTGATCGCTGGTGCAGTAGATTCAGTAGATATTGAGGAATATTTTAACCCTATTAGTATTTGGATGTTTAGCTACAGTGCTCTTAGCTCCTTCTAAAAACACATTAAATAGATATTTGGAGAGTGGAGAGACAAGAAAAAGGGAAATAAAAAGAGAGAGAGAAACAACAACAAAAAAAGAAAAGAAAAAAATTGTAATTAATGTTTTTCCTTTTTAAAAAAAATATCACAAAATAGAAAACCGCGTGGCGCGCAAGTGCACCGCATGAAATACCTAATTCACTGGAGCCATGTGTAACCTTCTTCTGAAGGCCTGGCCTTTTCTGCCTGGGTGGAGGACCTGAGCGATAATTAACAAGATAAAAGGTGGACCTGAGAGCAAGAGAAAAACTTTGCCTTTAAAAAAAAATGTAAAAAGGAAAAATTACCAAAAAAAAGAGAAGACAGAAGCAGGGAGAGACACAGACAGAGACACAGAAACAGATAGAAGGCTGGTGCGGTGGGGCTCCCTACTGCTAGCTTGTTTGCTGGAGGCTGAATTATCAGTAGAAAGTCTTCATTTCTCATGTGCCTTGCAATACCTAGTTGGCTGGAGCCATGTGGAACCTTCTTCTCTTTTCCTCCTCTTTGATAGATGAGGCCATGGTATGAATGCAAGTTTCAGAGAGGACACAATAAAACTGAATTTCATCTTTCTCTCACTGTAAAAACAAAAACAAAAACAAAAAACAAAAACAACAACAACAACAAATACCAAGCCCCTATGGATTGGCTGGGTCCTATGAGAGCTAGCTGGGTTTTTCTCTGAGTGTCCCATCCAGCAGGGTAGTCACAGAACTGTAGGTATTTGTGCACACAAAAACACACACTGAGTTGTATTCATCATGGGCAGACAATAAAAATGAGTTAGCAAATACGAAGAGGGAGTGACATAGTTTTATAAATAAGTTGAGACTTTTTTTTTATTGCCTTGTTTGTCTATTACCTTTCTTGGCATCAGCTACTTCTCTTTGCTAGAAAGTGTTTAATAGCATAATATGATAAATGTGAGTCACGGAAGCCGGGTCATCCTAGCCAAATGACCAGTGAGAATGTATCGTAATTAGAGATTTAACTGGTGGCCCAGCCACAGTGGTGCACTGCTAAGACACTGTCCTCCACAGGCTGGGGCTAAAGGGAAGCCCAGTTTGATTCCTGGTCCACGCTAAAAGCCAGATATAGTAGCAGCTGTAATTCCAGTGATTTGGAGAGACTGAGCCAGGAGAACTGAGCTGGCCGTGGGCAACATAGAGAGACCGTTTCTGAAAAAGGGCCTTTGTGGTGGCCCAGCAGGGAAGAGGGGGCTGAGGGATTGCAATAATGAGACCTTGTCCAAAAAAAGAAAAAGAAAAGAAACCTAAAAAGGAAATTAATTTTAATTAATTAATTAATTAATTAATGTTAATGAGCTTTTCTGGGAAGCCTAGCCTGAAGACAAGGGTGTCAGTCTCAGAGCAGGCAGGGGGCCCTGCTGCCTCACAGAGTGAGGCAGTGAGCAAGGCCCTCCACGCCATCCCTTCCTTTGCAGTGTAGCCTGCTGCTTGCCAGCAATGGGGAGCCTGGGAGGAAGGCCTGTACTCAGTGTGAGTGGGTTGGAGGAAGTGGTTTAGGTCTTACATGACCGCCCACATGTCATGTGCCTACTCTGCACTGGGCACTTTCCGACGTGCATCCATCCAGAAATGAACTAATCTGCACAAATAACCCAATGAAGAGGGTGCAATTATTGTTTCTATTTTACAAATGAAGTAGCAGAGACGCAGAGAGGGAGGGGAAGAAACTTGTCAAAGATCGCAGGCTAAAGGGCAGAGCAAGGGTTTCAGCCTATGTTTGCCAACATCAAAGATCACAGACCTCTTTGGTGGGTTTTGGAGTCAGACAAGCCTGGGTTCAAATCTCGGTACCACCACTACCACAGTTCACTCAAAGATCTTCCTTAACCTCTCGCTGCTTCCAGGTCCTCATCGAGAAAGGATGATCCTGATACTCATGTCACAGTGTTGTGCAAAGATAATTGACGTTCATTAAGCACCTGGTGAACAGCTCAGTAAATTGCACTCCTTGCATTTATCCCAATCTCCTGAACAGTGTTGTATGTGTGTGTGTTTTGAGAGGTTTTTGCTATAGGGCGTTTGCGCTCACCCACCGGACAGAGAGAGACAGAAAGCGAGAAATCAGCCCCACGGGGGATGGCCACGCTGCAATTCCTTCTCCATTCTCTTCTCGGGATCTTGAGCACGCACGCACACATGCCTGGCCTGAGTTTAAGCCACCAGGTCCGGGACTCAAAATGTGGTTGACTACATGGGAGTTCAGTGACATAGCCATTACGCCAACTGCTGGTCCCAGGGGTTTTTATATTATATTCCAACCAGAAAGAAGCCTTGTGAAGGCTATATATATTCAATCTAAAACTATTAGCATTTTATTATTATTATTCCTGAGTTCTTAGTTATTAAGATTTTTATTCTTTCTTTCATGAAAATGAGAGAGGCAGACACAGATCAGCACCTTCAATGGGGTCTTATACCACAATCTCCCCCACTGTCCCTCCCAGCCATCCCAAATGATGAGCACACACGCCTGATGAGTGCAGATCGACTGGGGAAAACGAGCCACCATCTTTCATATGGTTCCAGCTTCACTGGAGTAGCACATTACCGCTGTGCCAC